ATTTATAACTACATTATAAGTAAAGCATGTTGAAACCGACCAGGTGTCTTTGTGGTTTGTTTGGTTTTTTTTTTTTGCTGGGCCAGGACCTGGGTAGGTATCCAAGTGCTCATTGGTCTGTCTGAAACGGGGAGGGGGGGGGATTGTGGCTTGCTCATCTAGAAGGCATGGGGACCACATGGATTCTCCTCTACCTCATAAACCCCTGGGAAACTCCCTGCTAGCCTTTTATATACCATGACTAGAGAAAGGGGTCCAGGCCAAGAGTGTGTACATATGTACTAGCAATGGGCTTTCAAGGCAAATGAGCAGCAGAGGTGATCTGCCGTTGTCTTCCTCTGCAGAGTCTTCCTTGATAGGCTACCATCTGAGTGCCAGTCCTGCTTAGCTTCCGCGATTTGATGAGATCAGGCTGAACCTTGCCACCTTCCCTCCCTCAAGCCAAACGTGGTTACACTTTAGGCATTTCAGCAGCAGTCTCCACTGTGGCACCCACTTCCTGACACTCCCCCCATATCCCTTCCTCATCAAGTTCACCATCTTTATTCTCCTTCATTCTGTTCACACTCCTTCCTTTTCTTCTTTGTCATTGCTTTGTTCGCCTTTTTTTTTTGCACCTTTTCTCCTGGATATCTCCATCCTTCACCCCTTCCCCATCCCACTTCTCCAGCTGGCTTTCAGTTGATAGGAAGATGGAGAGGGTCCTACAACGGTGATGGAATTGTGGCAGGGGGTCAAGATCTAACTGCCTCCTGCAAAGCTGAGGCAGTAGTTTAATGGGGAAGGCGCACAGGTCACAATGTGGTTTCACTTGTGCTCTTTAGGGAAGTGTGTTTGCTTGAAACTGCTTCTCTAGAAGAGTTTTATCACAAGCAGAAAGGAAAGGGAAAGGGGAGAAATAGAAGTACCTGAGATGTGAAAGCAAATGCAAGAAGAACCAGAAGAGATAATAGGTTTTTATATCCTGCTTTTCTTTACCATGAACTGTGGTGGCTCAAGTGGTTAAGATGCTGAACTGCAGGCTGGAAGGTCGGTAGTTCAGCAGTTCAAGACCCGAGTGTGCCGCATGACGGAATGAGCTCCCATCTCTGGTTCCTGCCAACTCAGCAGTTCGAAAACAAGAAACTGCAAGTAGATAAATAGGTCCACTTCGGTGGGAAGGTAACAGCGTTCTGTGTGCCTTGGTGTTTAGTCATGCCAGCCACATGACCACGGAAAATGTCTTCGGACAGCTCTGGCTCTTTGGCTTGGAAACGGAGATGAGCACCGCAGCCCTAGAGTCAGATTCGACTGACTTTCGAGCAAGGGAAACCTTTACCTTTACCTTTCTTTACCATAGTGTCAAAACATCTTACAATTGCCTTTCCCTTCTCCCCACAACAGGCACCTTGTGAGGTAGGTGGGGCTGTGAGAGTTCTGAGAGAACTGTGACTAGCCCAAGGTCACCCAGCAGGCTTCTTGTGTAGGAGTGGGGAATCAAGCCTAGTTCTCCAGTCTAGAGTCTACCGTTCTTAACCATTACACTATGCTGGCTCACATGAAAGAGAATATAGGATTTACTTTCCTCACTCACAGCTAAAGACACATACTCTATGCTGCTAGCACTGACCTCACCCAGAACACCGTCTCTTGTACACACACATTTTACACAAGCTTAGGGAATTTCTAGCATTGGTTTCAAGAGGTATACAAGATCGGGGATGGGGGGGGAATCAGCGGGCTTGGTGGCTGGCAGCTGCTCAGGCCACGCTGCCGGTGTCCGGGGATGGGGGGGGAGGCTTACCTACTGCTGTTGCTGCTTCCTCTTCCTCTTGCTCTGCGTGGAGCTCTCCCCTCCTCATGTATCGCGGGTCCCCCTTCTTGTAGAACTCTAATTATCATAAGTTCATATAGACTTAAAGGCTTTCTGATTTTATTTACAGTTACCCAAGACGAACCAAGCACAGGGCAGGGTCAAACATCAATCCTAAAATTGTTTTGTTGGAAGCAAGTTCCATTGGTTTCACTTGAACTTCCAGACAAAAATCTGTTCATCAGTGGACTGTCTCCAATAACTCTGTTCCACCAGCTGAAAAGATTCTTCTGGGAGTACAGCTCTGCCACTGGAAATGACCCCATATATATTTCTGCTATAGCTAACTTCCTGCAGCCGTCAATCATAGCCACACTTCATTTTCCTACACACAAAAATAGGTATCAAATTATGTCAGCATCAGGATCTTAAAAGTAATGGAATGCATTGAACTGTAGATTCAATAAGCATTTCATGTATGAATGCTCTACAGTAAAAATTTTGCATTATGTAGATGTAAATGAGGTTAATGTCAAAAGATCATTAGTTGTGGTGAGTAGGCACACAATAGTCTACTATGGAAATATTGCAAGGGTGTTGATCAATAAAAAGGACTGGCATTTCTGGCATCCTATCACATGCTTCAGAGATCATCATAAATCAACCAGTAGAAGAATTAGCAGTGCAATCCTGTGCAGTTACTCCAGTTTAAACCCACTGACCAATCCTGGAAGAAATCCTAGAAGAAATAAACCCTGACTGTTCCCTGGAAGGCCAGATACTGAAGCTGAAGCTCAAATACTTTGGCCACCAAATGAGAAGGGAGCACTCACTGGAGAAGACCCTGATGCTGGGAAAGACGGAAGGTCAAAGAAGAAGGGGATGGCAAAGGATGAGATGGTTAGACAGTGTCACCAATGCAACAAACATGAAGTTGAGCAAACTTCAGAGGATGGCGGAAGACAGGAGGGCCTGGCGTGATCTGGCCCATGGGGTCGCAAAGAGTCGGACTCGACTGTGTGACTGAACAACAAGCCCACTGAAATCAATAGGCTTAGACTGGAGTTGCTCCACCTTTTAATCAACTGATCAACTTTGTCAGCTCAAAAAAGTTCAGTACTGCTGATAATACCTTTAGTTGTAAAACTATCACACTTTGTCTCAATTCCCCTACACAGCTAGTCAGTTCCCTTGAAACTAACGGAAAATTTAGTACCAAATGTAGCTGAATTGTTCTCATATGAACACCTGAAGATGCCTTACACTGATTTAGACCATTAGTCTATCAAGGTATTGTCTATTCAGACTGGCACGGAGTCTCCAAAGTCTCAGGCTGAGGTCTTTCACATCACCTATGACCGGATCCTTCTAGCTGAAGATGCCAGGGATTGAACCTGGGACCTTCTGCATGCCAAGCAGATGCTCTGCCACGGAGCCATTTTGTCATGATCCTGCTTGGGCCCCCTGCTGACTCACTTATACAGCTGCCCTATAATTTTTTTTTTGCAGCCACGTACATGCAAGAATAGGACATCAAGGCAAGATTATTTAGCAGTTGATGGGATCGCTCCTGGCTGTAGCCCTTGGCTTGTTCCCCACTATGGCACACTTCCTGGAGCTCAACTTGGTACTCCTGTGCCTGCTTCTCTTGGTCAGCCTGCCCATCATCCCAGCCTTGACACCAGTGAGGTCATAACTCTAGCTCCCACACTTCCTGTTGTTTGACTGATGTAGTTTGTCATGTGATCTCCTGTCAGTAGCAGTGTTCCCTCTGAGTTAGTGTGAGCTCGCTCAGTTTTTTAGCCTCCGGCTCACATATTTTTGTCTTAGCTCAAAAAGGATGGCTCCAGAGCAAACTAATTTATGCAGCAGCCAAATCGCTGGCTCACAACTTTAATGCCAGTAGCTCACAAAGTGGAGTTTTTGCTCACAAGACTCCACAGCTTAGAGTGAGCCTTGCTCGGTAGGTCCCGTTGCTACATGAAGGTTAAAGGGGAGTTCTACATCTGGAACTCTTGCAGACCACTGGCATTAGTGCCTTAGCATGAAGTATCTATCTCCTGAAGGATGTCTCCAGCTCCTGATACATTTTAAACATAAAGCCAAGACTGGCCCTAAGAGAAGCAGATCAAGTGACAGCTCTTGGTCTTGTTTATAGGCCAGGATTGTCAGATCAAATAGGTAAAGGGCTCCAGGTCATGTGAAAGGCACTGGAAAAACAGAGTCCACAGAAAAGGAGTTTCTTCAGCTGCCTTTTGCTTTGACAAACAGCTGAAGAATTCAGTCAGGATGCTAAATTAAGAGATGGGTACAGGACTGCAATAATTCATCTCTGTCCCACTAACTACCTCCACACCAGGAGAGCTCTCTCAATATTTCCATATACCCTATAGAGGTCGGGATGCTTGGAACAGGTGCAGTGACTCCTTAGTAACAGGAAAAGTTCACATCAGAGCCATAAAACAAATAAACCTGACTTAATACATTGGACTAGAATCGACGCATGACGAACTAGAGGCAGTTGTCTCACCTCGTGGCTGACACTGCACTCTTACTTTGTACACAGGAGTCAAGTCACCTCTGGCTACCATTGAACAGCCTCCACAGATGTCACCTGGGGGCCAGGCAGGCATGTAATAAGTGGGATCAAAAACCTGAAAGTTCACTAGATACCTTCCTTACATTAAATTATACTGCTTAGATGCCAGGTGTTTTGGGTCTAGCACCCAAGTCTTTCCTTGAAAGCAGGTAAGCACATGCTTGTTACTCATGCAATGAGGAGGGCAAATTACTTGTACTATTGCGGGATTGGAATTTTTAGATTAACTTGACTCGGGTGTTTCAAGATGCCGACGAGCAGGTTATGGCAGAATGAAGTGGGGGGAGCACTAGAATAGTAGAGCCACCTTGTTTCGGCTTATAGCAATTATGATGTCCTGCAGTTCTGGAATACAAATGCTGGAAATGGTGTCAGATGAAGCCACCACTTAATTTTCTCCTGCTTCAGAACAGGATGCTTAAAAAAAAAAAAGTACATCAAGGCTCCTGTTGAGTAAATTACTCCCTCTTCTGTGCATGATGCTGTCAATGCAGTTGGGCTCCGTAAAATATACAGCGAGTTACTTAATGGGTGCAGTAAAGGCAGGAATTGCAAGAGAGCAAGCAAGGGAGTCAAGGTTTTTCTTTAAAATTATTTAATTACACACCTTTCCAGTAATAAGCATAATAAGACAATAGAATAGATCGCCATCATTCAATTATTTACACCCCTTTATTCCCTTAAGCTTCAAACAGGCATTTGAGGAGTTTTATGCAGCAGTATCACTTCTCGTATTAGGAGAATGCCGGGACCGAGGGCTCCTTGCAGGAAATAAATGTCCCATTCTGGCAGGATTTAGTGGGATGATGCTTTTGTGGCTTGAATTGTCCAGCTGAAGATCCTGTATGGAAGAACTGCATCTCCCCAAGATGGCTTTCCAAGTGAAGTGAGTGGAGTTCTAAAAATACTGAGATTGATACAAAATTATGTATTTGGATTCTCCCTTTTCGCTGGTACCATGAGACCAAAAAAACCCAAGAAAGGTTGGGGGTGGGGGTGGGGGGGAGATGAGTGATGTTAGGACAGCTTCACGCCAATTTTATTTTGCTCCTTCTTCATCAACCGCTGCACTTCTTTCTCCATTTTCTTTCTTTGCTGCTCAGCTGCTCGTTTTTCCCTTTCTACTATTTTCTGCTGCCTGCAATTTCACGAGAGAAAGAGAGAGAGAGAGAGAGAGAGAGAGAGAGAGAGAGAGAGAGAGAGAGAGAGAGTGGGTGAGCGCAGCCAAACTTTGTTAGCCCGTCTTCGCAAGAACTTTTTTTAAAAAAAAACAGCTCCAAGTGAGTCAGTAGCCACTTTCTACACCTAGCCAGCTTGGTCTTAAACAGGTATGTACTTTAACACCTGCCTTGGAACTAGAGTACACATCCCCACCAAATCTGTGCATTACGCAACAGGGGAAAACAAAGAATCTACAAATCGCTGCAGAAAGGGATTTAAGTTTTAAAAAGAAGGCATTCACAAAATTGCAATCTAACCGGTTTTTATCCCACACTCACTTCAAGGAGCTCACGGTGGCTTACAACCTTCCCAGTTTTATTCTCACAACGATCCTGTGAGAAAAGTGATTGACCAAAGGACACTCCAGAAGAGCACAGTAGGAATCAGGCTCGTCCAGACCCTACTCCAATACTCCAGCCACTTGCAGCCCCTGGGCTCCACGCTAGTTTGCAATTAGTCTACTGAGGTGTTTTAAATTACCAAGCATGAGTTTACATTTGAGATCAATCATTAAAGCTTGACTAACCTACGTTATCACAAGGATGCATGTTTTCTTAAAAATGGAAGTGTTTTGCTGAATCGGATCAAGTCCACCCTAGCATTCTTTGCGAGAGGAACTAGAGACCCTGGACGGTCCATCAAAAACAGCATTCAGTTGCGGCCATGGAGGAAGGATACGTAAGTGGCCCCAAACTAACACTCTGAGAACCTGCACCCTGCTGCAGCACATGTGCCACGGAACAGCCCCAAAGAGCTTGCGATGTGGTTAATCTGAACTGGACTAATAACACGTCATTTCAACCACCAAGTTCCCACAGCCTGCCCCTACAGAAGACATTCTATAAGAAGTCAGACACAGTGGTGCTTAACACAGAAGGGTGAGGAACAGCATGGAAATTATTTATGTATTCTTAAGCAAAATGGCTATTCAACTTCCCTCTTCAATGATATTTCCATACTTTTGGTTAAACACTACAGCACTGGCATTAGCTGGACACTATATGCCTATGTGAACATACCCCAACAAGTTATTCCCCAGAGCAAGACACACAACTATGACTGACTGAAGAGAGTTCCTTTACTCTAGGAGGTGGCCATTTTGCATGTGTGCACAAATCAACACAATTAGTCAGAAGGAAGTACTTCTTCACTCAGTGAGTAATTAAATTGTGGAATCCACCGCTAGTGGATGTAATGATGGTCATTAGAAACAATGAATTTTAGAGGGTCCTAGACAGATTCATGGAGTCTAAATACGGCTACTACCCATGACATCTAAAGGAACCTCCACATCCAGAATCAATAAACCTCTGAATGCCAGTGTTAGGAGGCAACAGTAGGGGAATGCCTTGGCCTCTTATGTTCTGTTTCTTGGTCCTTCAGGGCAACTGGCTGGCCACTGTGTGAAACAGGAGGCTGGTCTGATCCAGCGGGGCACCTCTTATGTTCTAACCTCAAAGTAACAAATGGATGGAAGGGGGGGGGTGGAAGGCTGCATGAAAAACACAGAGAGTGAGTGTACTGCAGCCAACTAACAGTTGTTCGGGACCCAGAAGGCAACTGAGATTACTGTGAAAAGCAAATCATTAGGTGCAATATTTGGAATTATTTTTTCATGCTAAGAATACCTAAGCAGTGCAATAAGTAGCAATGACTGTAGAGATGTTACCATGGCAATGTCAAGAACTGGATTACACATATGCACAAGTGATTTTTTTTTAAGGAAAACGGGGAATGGGTTGATGAGATTGTCTAAACAAAGTCGTAACTTCAATACTCATCACAGAAAACAACACTGTACTAAGTATTTGGCCTTAAATCGGAAGAATCATTCAGAGATGTTTGCAACATTTCATTTGCTTTAACTTCTCATCTGAGAGAAGCCACCTTTGTTGCATACTGAGCCCTCTGCTGGCCACTAAGGGCACTCTTTTTTGGGTGATCTAAACATGTACCAATTCACACAACATGATCCTGCAAGATGTCACACAATCAGATTAAAGGAATATTCACACTTTCCTTCCATATAAGAGCACTGTTAAGCCCCACAACCATGAGCCCGCCTTGGTGGGGAGGGCGGGGTAAAAGTTAAAGTGGTAAATAAATAATTAATAAATAAATTACCTACAAATTTATCTACAGCAACAAATTACTGCAGGAGGAAACTTGCCCCGTGTGCCCAGCTGTGCCTGGCCATCATCACTGAGCATCAGGCAAGCCTCCTGACCTGTCTGCTGGGCCCTGTTTCTCCAAGATGACTTCCATTCCATCTCCCTGGGTGGAGATGGAGAAAAGCACTGCAGGGGCACTCAGAAAAGACAACATGCCTGGAAGCAGAGAGAGCTAACAAAGCGGAAGCTGTCTAGGAGAGTAGGGTACGACACCCTGAAGAAAGCAGGGAAGGCAAGAACGTTGTCCATTATAAGATCTTTAGCATAAATAACATGGGGGACCACCTAAAGAAGCAGCTGCTTTCCCTCTTTCAGAGTCAGCTTCAGAGGAAAATGATGGCAGTGGAACCAATTGCTTGTTTACTGCTAACCTGTCCTGCGCAAAAAAGGCAAACGCTGTTCAAAACCTAGGCCTATTTCTTTATCCTCTTTCCACTGCATAATATTGTTCCCTGGGGAAGAATGACCATAACCTCAGCCACCTCTGTTTATAAAAGACAGTCTGTCTTTCCTTTCTGTGCTCCTATTCCCCAGTTTCTCAACACGTTGGTGACCATTTTATATATTCTATTCAAAGTGTTACATTATTTTGTAAGGAAGCAGGAAAAAGCTATTGGGCTGAAGACACCGAAGACATCACAAAAAGTGTTGGCCGAGCAGAACGTTGCTCACCTACCTGTCTTGTGGAAAAGGGGGAAAGAGGTGGCTTTCTCTCCGGCTGTTACTGCAGACCCCTGTGGCACATTTTGTCTGTCAGACTCTCTCAATCTTCAGACAGGAGTTTCAGGGCAAGCAAGAGGCCGCCTGAGGAAGACCTGTCCTGCCAACCCCTTCCAGGAATTCTTCTGCATAGGTCCTACCTGTTCTTCTCAAGGCAGCGTCTCCAGTGAGAGCCTTGGACAGTCCAGGGCTTACTAAAAATGCATTTTTCACCAATCCTGCATTGTCATGTATTAATGATGTTCACAAAACTTTGGAAACACCACAAACGAAGACTACAGCTATGAATGTGGGTAGTAATACTATTATTCCTATTTTCCATTCCTTTTCTCACCCACCCATTACTTCCTTTGAAGCCGTAACTACCAGTTAGGAGTGAACGCTTGCCCTGTTCCCACTCTTACGCAGTTATTCTGGGGCTGTGCCAAGTTACCTTAGAACTTCTTCTGCTTGCCAGGCTGCATCTTCCTCTTCTTCCCAGGCATTCGTGTTTTCCTGCCACGTCTCCAGGTCTCCCAATTCCGGCTGAAAAAGAGAAAGAATTCAACACATATACACAACTTCCCCAGTATAGATACCTGGTCAACTTCAGAAAGGTGTAGCGCACAGCAAGGTCACATCATCTTATTTATCACCTGAGAATCTCCCTGGGTTGGATCCCAAGGTTTTTTTGGTCACACACTAAGGGCACTTCTGCTTGCATTAGATTTCGGCTAATTCCCCCCTCCCTTACAGCCCCTGCAGTGATGCGGCACTCCATGGTATTCCAAAAGACCCCCCCCCCGCCCCCCAAGAGCTGCAGTGAAAAGGGGGATGGCTAATTCCCCCCTCCCCTTGCAGCCCCTGCAGTGATGTGGCACTCCATGGTATTCCGAAAGAACCCCCCCCAGCCCCCCAAGAGCTGCAGTGAAAAGGGGGATCTGCAAAAGCACCATTTTCCAACGCACCTCTGATGGTGGCAACTGAGGAGACAACCCCTGGTTTCAAGTAGGGTTACCTGGATATTTCAAATGCTGAGCAGGCTTCCTAAAAGAGTGGATGGGGTTGCTGTGGCCCATAAGGACTCTCTCCCCCAGCCTGGTACCCCATTCAGAACACTTCCAGTTTTGAGGCTGCGTAGCTAATGTTCAGACTGAAAGGCAGGACTGGGGCTCTGTTGGTGTAGCTCCCACCCTGCTTCCCAACACTCTCCCTGACTGAACTGACAGACGTGGTCTCAAGGCTGGTGTTGAAGAACCCCAGGGCTGGTTGTCCTCGGGGACTTCGACATTCATGCCAAGGCCATCTTTTTGCTAGCGACTCAGGATTTCGTGGCCTTCATGAAAGCATGGGCATGCCTCAGGTAATAACTGGCCCTACACATTGTGCAGGTCACACTCTTGATCTGGTGTTTTGTTCTCAGCAGGACGGATGTGGTCTGAGAGTGGAGGAATTAACAATAGTTGCTTGTCACAGTCAGATCGCTATTTGTGTAGGTTTAGACTTAGAGGGATGGGGATGTATTAAATTAATCCTCCCCTGGAGCCAGATGGATCTAAATGGCTTTCTGATGGCTCTGGAGGATTTCCCTGTCGATACAGCTGGTGCGCTCCTGTGGATGCCCTGGCTGGCCTCCGGAATGAGGAAACGACCTCGGGGTTGACCTGCTTGCTCTCAGGCACCCTCTCCCAGGTGTCAGAGCCACGGCTGCCCCTTGGTTTATTGAGGGGCTGCAAGTGATAAAAAGGGAGATGGCCAGAGCAACAGTGGAGGAAGACTTGGGATGAATTCTGTAAGACATGGGCTAAAGCTCATTTTAAAGCAGGCTCTGCGGTAGAGACGGCGGCAAAGGAACAATGCTTTCCCGCCACCACAGTGTTTGGACAATGAAGGCCACCAGAGCTGATGGACAGAAGACAGCTGGGATTCGGCCTGCAGGAAGAAGTGGACTCGGTAACCCACTGAGACTGTTTAGCTCAAAACTTTGCAGATAAAATCTCTCGCATCAGTACCAACTTGACATTAGCAGTGAGAGTCAGATGGTGCCAAGGTATCCCCTCCCAGCTGTTTGGATACTGACCAGTTCAGTCAACCTGAAGATGTGAACAGGGTCCTGGGAGGTTTGAAGCCTAACACCTGCTTGCATGACTCTTGTCGTTACATCTGCCCGGGGGGGGGGGGCTGCCTAGGGGGTGGTTACCCCAGCCTTGAAACAGTGCATCCACTACTAAAAGAAATTTTCCCTGGAAGTAGGAAATTTCAGTGACTATCGGCCGGCCTCAGGCGCTCCATTCTTGAGCAAGGTGACAGTATGTGTGGTGGCTGGACAACTTCAAGCATTTGTGGATGAAGGGACTGCTTGGATCCTTTTTCCAGTCTGGTTTTGGCTTGGTTATGGGACTGAAAGAGCCTTGCTCACCCAGGTGGAAAGCCTGTGCCAGGACATGGACAGAGGGAGTGCTCTTGGAACCGAGCCTACTGCTGGATAAGCAGGTGGCAGCTATGGTCAAGAGTGCCTTTTACAAGATTCGACTGGTTGGCCAGCTTCAGCCATTCTGGCCACCGTGGTGCCTGCCCTAGTTACAGATAAGATTAGATCACTGCAATGCAGTCTCTGTGGAACTGCCTTTGAAAAATGTTTGGAAACTTTAATTGGTGCAGAATGCTGCAGCCAGGATGTTGATGGGAGTGGGCCACAGTGACCGTATCACTCCAGTCTCAGGCCATTTACAGTAGCTCCCAAACCATAATTCAAGGTGCTGGTGTTGCTCTTTAAAGCCCATGTCTTGCAACCAGCATACTTGACGGACCGCATACTCTCTTACGAACTGATGAAAGGGCCTTCTTGGCTGTGACACAAACCTAGAGAACTCTCTCCCCAGGGAGACTCATCTGCCTTCCTTCTGTTGCCATCTTCTGCCGGTGAGTGAAGGCTTTTTTTGTTTCATCTGGGATTCCATGAATGATCCCCTCCTTCCTGCCCCATTAATTGTTGCCTTTATGGTTTAGTATGTGTATTTTAGCTTTGGTTTTGTTTTAAGGATGTGTTTTTGTTTGGTTTTAAAGACATGTTTTTAATCTCTTATCCACCTTGGTGACCCTGATGAGGGCAGAAAGGCAGGGTATAAACTTTGCACATAAATAAAATACACAAGCACGTTTCAATTTACCTGCTCGATTTCTACAACCAGCTAGGAGCAGGACAGGAAACAAACAGAAGCATTGGTTTTGTCCCTAATTTGGATAAAAACATAGGTTTCCTGGACGTGTGTGCAGAAGAGTAGCCTGGGATGATTAAGAAGGATGGGTGAAATGAGACTGCGGCTCCCACGGACAGTAATTAACAAGAAAAGGGAATAAGTGCAGCCAAGCCTACAGCCTGTTTCCAGTCAACTATCGAAGCTGTTCTTCAAATGACTGGAAAGATAATTAGCCAGCTCTACCCTTTTTTTTGGCACCTTTAACAATTCTACTGCATTACGTATGCACAAGGGAAATGACACCACCATCAACACTATGCTATGCTACTTGTGGAAGTAGGCAGTGACAAGTTCAACTTGTTATCATTCTGCGTGCCTAAATTGTCAGGCCAGTTCTTTACATTCCAATATTGGCAGCTGGCCCAAATAAGACAAGCAGGTCCAAAGCTCTCTGTTATTAGAATGACATGGCCTTCTTAACAGCCAAAATAGGAAGGAAGCTATACATTATACTCAGGACCTACGGTTAATACCCTAAGGTGCCGGTTAGTATTAAAGAGGAGTTTTGAGATAAAATTGTATCTGCTAAGGAAGAAGGATTAACTCTGTTCTTTTTTGGAGAAACACTGTAGGGGGAAATAGTTAACCCCCTACCATGACACTAATACAAATCTCCCACCATGTGCTGCTGCTTTCAGAGGCTAGATTACACTCTGGAGAAATCCAATCATGGATCTCCAACATAATGCAGTCTAGGCCATAGCAATGCTTTCTCTCCTGAGACAGAGGGGGGGGGGAAACACCCCAATTATCTGGAAACTAGAAGCAAACCATATGGAGAACATACTTACAGATTGGTGAATAAAAGGTACATCTTGTGTAGCTGCTAATCTAGAAAACCCTGCACTGCCATCCTGGTTGCCAAAATTTAAGGGTTCACGCTTCTTAACAATAATCTGAAAGACAACATTGAAGAAGAAAGAGATCATGAAGTCTGTGGTCTGCAATAGCGGATGCTTCCTGACAGTGCTAGATCCGGCTATTTTGCACAGAGTTATGTCACATAATTGTGAACTGAAATTATCTTGTTCGAGACCAAGTGTCAGATATTACAGATGTTAAGACGACTGAAGCAAGCATGTACTCACTCACTGCTGTAACAAGGGGCTTAATGGTATCATGCTCTCTGGGTATCAGCTTTTACCCAGAGAAGGCGATGGGAACGTCAGAGTGTTACACACTTTTATCTCTTGCACATATAATCTGTGTGGTCTCTTCACAGCCCCATCAAACCCACAGCATGACACGGGGTTGTCCTGTAACACATATGGCATCTTCTCCACCTCTTAGTATAAAATAATGTGATGCTCATGCTGTGACACATGACAATTTAGGATGCAGTTGCAGATGTAGTAATATTTGGTTGCACCACCAAATGAGTGAGGATACAGCTTAAGTATATAAACACTAATCAGTCCATGTAGCTGACTACAGTAACTACAGATTAGTATGAAAGACATAACTTCTGCTTGATAGCGCTGTAATATAAACTGAAACTTAATACACACATTGATCACCAAATCACAATGAGGTGCCAAGCTAGAGAACTTGGTTATCTAAAAACTGGTTAAATGACATGAAGAAAAGAGTAGGAATAAATGACCAGCTCTCACAATGGAGGGAAGTGAGCAGTGAGGTCCCACAAGGATCAGTATTGGGGCCGGTGCGATTTACTTTATTCATAAATGATCTGGAACTAGGGATGAATAGTGTAGTGGCCAAGTTTGCAGATGACACAAAATTATTCAGGATGGTGAAAACCAAGGCTGACTGTGAAAAGCTCCAACAGGACCTCCACAAACTGGGTGAGTGGGCGACAATGTGGCAAATTAAATTCAGTGCTGGTAAGTGTAAGGTGCTGCACACTGGGACAAGAAATCCCAATTTAAAGTATAGGCTGATGGGGTCTGAACTTGCTGAGACTGAGAGGGAAAAGATCTCAGGGTTGTATGTTCCCACTAAGCTGCGGAGTCTTGTGAGCAAAAATTCGACTTTGTGAGCTACTGGCATTAAAGTTGTGAGAAAGCAATTTGGCTGCTGCATAAATTAGTCAGCTCTGGAGCCATCCCTCCTGAACCAAGACAAAAACATGTGAGCTGGAGGCTAAAAGGGAACCCTGGTGGTAGTGGATAGGTCAATGAAAGTGTCAAGCCAGTGTGCTGCAGTGGTGAAAAAGGCAAGTTCTATGTTATGGAGTATTGGGAAAGCGACTGGAAATAAAACAGTTGAGCCCCTATGGTGCAGCCTCATTTGGAACCCCACGTAAAGTTATGGTTAAAGGTAAAGGTTCCCTTGCTCAAAAACCAGTCGAATCCGACTCTAGGGTTGCGGTGCTCATCTCCGTTGCAAAGCCGAAGAGCCAGCACTGTCCAAAGACGTTTCCGTGGTCATGTGGCCGGCATGACTAAACACCAAGGGGCACGGAATGCTGTTACCTTCCCACTGAAGTGGTACCTATTTATCTACTTGCAATTTCTTGCTTTCGAACTGTATTTCAAAAAGGGCATTGCAGAACTGGAAAAAGTACAGAGGAGGGCGACCAAGATGATAGGGGGTTGGAGCACCTTCTCTATGAGGAAAGGCTGAAGAGCCTGGGACTTTTTCAGTTTAGAAAAGAGTCAATTGGGAGGGACATGACAGAGATTTATAAAATTATGCCTGGGGTGGAGACAGTTGACAAGAAGAACTTTTTCTCCCTCTCCCAAATAATAGAACTCGAGGGCATCCAATGAGGCTGATGGGCAGTATAAGTTCAGGACAGACAAAAGGAAATACTAATTTACACAGAGTTAATAAAATGTGGAACTCGCTGCCAGAGGATGTAGTGATGACCACAGTAATAAACAGCTTTAAAATGGGATTAGATAGATGCATGGAGGATATCAACAGCTACTAGCCATAGTGACTGAGGGGAACCTCCAAACGCAGAGGCACTAAGCCTCTGAATCCCAGAGCCGGGAGGCAACATCAGGTGAAGGCCTTAGCCTCTTTGCCATTGTTAGCCGTCCAGAGGAACTGGCTGCCCACTGTGTGAGACAGGATGCTGGACTAAATGGACTATTGGTCTGATCCAACAGGGCTCTTCTTATGTTCTTAAGCAAAAGCAGCAAACTCTCCTCCAGAATTTGACACTAGCCCCTTATCAAAGAACTGTAAATACCTGCTGAGCTTGCAGGCAACAGAGATCCAGATGAGGAAACCCGTGTAACTCTGCACACATTATCCCACCCACCTCCATCACAGCAGCCTCCTGCACACCTAGTCCAGTTCACCTCCATGAACAAACAAGATGGGCACCACCTGCCATTGCTGAACCTGAATGGCTGCCCTGCACATCAACACAGAACAGAACTACAGTTCAAAATGCTGCAAACGTACTTTCTGCGTTTTCCTTATTGTTGGAGTCATGTCCTTGAAGTAGTCTGGCTCCATCTCCTCCAAACCGTTCTGTTGATTGGCCACAGTGCCGTTGCCACCTTCAATCTTCACGCTTGTAGGAGCATCTTCATCCCATGAAGACCAATCTTCTACTTCTGGCTGAAGAGCAAACATGATCTCAGCATTCTATTCGGAAACTGTGCAGTTCGATGCAAGTACTGCTTACGCACTGATACCCGTGCCATTAAAGGTATTACCTGCTTAGGAACTGATGAATAATCGACAGTAGTTGGCAAAGTTATTTGATCACCACTTAGTTTCCGTCCTCTTCCAGTCCTGAGAAAGAAACAAGAGGGTTACTTCTAGCTCTGAAAAATATGAGCACTACACAGAAATATTAGTAACAGCTAACAAAGCTACAGACATAAAAACCCGTACAGGATTTTATATACAGGAAGGCTATTTACACAACTTGCCATCCACTTAAAAGCTGATTTAATGACAAACCAGGAAAACCTTTGCAAATGTTTCTGAATAAGTCTTGGTCTAACCAGAGCTCCTATACACAATATATAACTTGCCCCTACTGGTATAATGACATTATGAATAATGTCATTATTTCTCAGTTGAAATTAGACCAACCTGGTACAAAAATGGGATAAAAATGTTCTAAGGAACAGGTTTATTTACAACAACCACTTTTCTTGTAAATTAGTGCTATAAGGTCTGCTCTGAACTAGCAGTATCCAAGTTTACCAAGCTATCCAAAAGCAGGAGAAAAATGTGACACAGGTTGTTAAGACTAAATGTTTGGCTGTTGTCCACAAACAGTCATGCTTGAATAAAAACTTGTCTTTAAGTTGCCACAAGACTCCTATTTATTTTTTGGCCCGAAGACTAACATAACAACACCCCTCAGGAATATTTAGTATTGCTCTTACTGTACTTGGCCAGACCAAATCATGACTAAAATGAAGAGGGATGGAATATAAGTTACAAACATTAAGCATCTGCCGCATCAGGATTTTCCACATTCAAAGGTGTCACTAAAACATCTCAGGATTGGTAGAAAAATATTTGCACGGTGACAACCGCTAACAGTAGTTGCAACCCTCGAAATAACAGCTGAAATCCAAAGAACTACTTTAAACATACTGGGCAGGGCCTGTAAGGATTTTCCACTTTTTTATTTTCAATAGCAAAGCTCCATTCCATATCATCCACTGCTTCTGAAAGCTGCCCCTATGTTCCAGAAAGCAGAGTACCAAATAGCATGGAGAACTACTGTCTGAGAAGCAAAAGCCCAAGTTCACTCCGGGCATCTAAAACTAGTTATGTGGTTCCACAAATCCAGGTCATTAAACAAATCATTGCCATATATTACTTTATTCTTAAAAATGGGGCTAGCTGGATTGTATGAGATTCAATTGTTAACCCATTTTGTCCCCAAAGACTTAGGTCTCTTGAAAAGACTTCAAAACTCCAGATCATTCATTTTGCTGAAACTTTCCCTAACCCTTCTTTTATTGGAATATGAATATTTACCAATATACTACATATATTTTTCTAATGCTCCCCCATCTACTCTCTCATAAAGTCGGTTTTGTGCATTTTGTTTCATAGAATCAACAAGATGGAACTTGCAGAAGATTAAGTTTACATAAGCAGAAGATTAAGTTTACATAAGCCAATAAAACTAATTTTTGTATCATGAAGCGAGTAATAACAAGGGGTAACTGAATATGAATAAGATATTTGAGAAGCTGCTTTGCTTTCCATTGCCGTATCTTAGCACCATGTTGTGAAAGTATTTGAGACCCAAGACAAGGATTTGTAGTGGAAACAAACAGGAAAGTGAATTGATCAGGGACAACTCACAGGCCTGTTCACACTCTGGAATAGATGCTTAAGTACAAACTAAGCAAGTAGGGGGCCATCAATGAGGAAGTGGCTTTCCCTGAGAAATACACAGAAGTCAAAAGCTCAATCCTTTCCCAGTTGCTGCCTGTACAGTGAAGCCAGCCACTCAAAGTCTTGAGTATCACTGAGAAACAGTCATAAATAAATAAAATAAAAATAAATAAATGTTATTTTGTACTTGGAATGTCTAAACCAGAACACAGAAAGTAAATGGTGCCAAAGTGCTGCTCTATATAAAAAAAAACCCTCAATGTGAAATCTGATAAAAGTGTAAATCTTCAAACCCTAGTGCAGCCACACACACACATGTGCATATCATATGTGCTGGAAAATGAGAAATGGGAGAACACATTTATAAAGCAAGGGAAGATGGTAGAAGTGTGAGATTATCAGGACGGGTAGCTATGCTCCAGTTTCGGACTGCCACAATTCTTCCCTAGAGCTTCTTTCTGGGGAGAGAAACTTCATGTTTTCCTTTTTATTTTATAAATCCCAATCTAAAATGAAATGAAAAATACATGGACCAAAATATGAGATACAACTAACCTCAGTAATGAATATGTACACAAGAACACTCCCAAAGGATCTCTTGTCTGTTTATGCTCTAACAGACTAGATGTCCCAAGGCACCTTCAAGAATAACATGCTTATCTGGCATAGTTTTCTGCAAGAAAATTCTTCTTCTTTAGTACTTAAATACTAAATAGTATTTAAATAAATAAAATAAATTTACCCTACTGAATGTAAGCTTCTTCATTAATAAAAGTCACCAATCTAAGCCAATCATAACCATGCTGACTGGGATCTAGTACTATGTATTTATCTGGAATCAGCATAGTACTGGAACACGCCTACTCCTGTCTTTTGCAATGCTTGACCTTTTGGCTCTACTTTACAGTATATGTGTGTGTGTGTGTTTTAAAACTTCCCCGTAAACAAAGTGTATCTGTATTCACGAGAGAACTGGGTGAGATGAAGCAGACTGGAAGACAACTAGAGAGACACTGGCAGAAGACTCAGGATGAGTCAGACGGAGCATGTCATAAAGCCCATTCACAGGCCTATGAGGTGCCAATAATGGCAGCAAAGAAGACATTCTTCTCTGCCACCATTGGGTCAGCAGAATCTCATCCAACTCCATTGCTTAAAGTGGTTCCTGACTTGATAACACCTAAGCCTGGCCCTGCAGTTGATGAAAATTTGGCCTCCAGCTGTGATGTTTCTGCTAAGGTTCTTCGCTGACAAAATCTCTCTCATCCATTCCAACAGAGAGGCCCAGCTGTGTGCAGTTCCAGTACCTGAGATGCCAGAAGCCCCTGCTTGTCCTTGTGTTATGGATAGTTTCAGGTTGATCCTGCCTAAGGATGCTGACAGAGTCCCTGTGCACTAACTACAGCCATAAAGCAGCCATTTGTTGAATACTCCACCTTTTAGGGTGGCTCATCTGGCACTGACCAGAGCCCAGGCTTTTTCCATCATGGCCCTGGCTCTGTGGAATGGGCTCCATGAGGAGGTGAGATGCCTCCCTCCCCCCCCCTGGAGATCTTCAGGGAACACTGTAAGGCCTGCCTGTAGGCCAGGGTTTTGAGGGAGTTTGATTGGCAGGCATCTTTTAAGGGGCAGGGAGACTTGGGGTTTGCTATTTTATCTTTGGTTTTAGCTGGGGATGTTGTACGCTGCCCTGAACTAAGAGGAAAGGTGGGATTTAAATGTTTTAATAAAAAACAACTGTCCGTGCATCTCACAGAGTCGGCTCTATCCTACAACAATGGAGGCAACGATAATTGCTGCTGTTCTTTAAGGGATCACAAGGTTCTATTTTCACAGCACAAGATTTCTTTTTCCCAAATTTTTTACAATATTTTAAAATAGCTAACAAAAGAAACATAGGTTTGTTTCAAGCATGGCAAGAATTGCTAACTCCTGCAAATAAAATAGAAGTTTCAGACAAATTTATGTTGGCAGCCGTTAAAAGGAGAGGGTCACAGTAGGCTTTGGGAAAAAAGTCTTAAAAGAATGCTCCTATATAACAAAGCTGAACGATTGTTAATCACATAACATTTCTGGACACTTCTAGAGAGCTCCACATCTGACAAAAACAGCAGTTAGAGGAATCAGAACTGTTTACTGAAAACTGCATTTTACTCATACCCCTGTGATCTTAAGGAGAAACTTTAAATACTCCCTTAGATTTTCCATCTGTAATTAACAAACACCTTCAAAAGGACATAGACAAGAGGACAATGACAAGTCCAAATGAACCAAAAACACATGCAAGACCTGCTGTTTACCTGCATATCAATCTCTTGAAAAAAGAGAGCACTGCTGCCAGGCACGTACAAATTTTAAAAAGACGGAACTGTGTAATGGCCATGGTGGAAGTCGTTGCCTGAAAAAATAAAAAAGGACAAAGAAAGTTATGGCGGTATTTACAGGGTGACTTTATATCTGCAGATCAGTTTTACTGGCTAACAGTGCATAAAGTCAGGTGCTGATACAGACAATGCAATTCAGGCTCACAGTTGCGGGCTCAAGGCAACCACAAGCATAACTGGTAGCCTTTGTGTGGTGTGCTGTCAAGCTGTTCCCAACTTGCAGTGACCTTATGGATTAATGACAAAGTCCCATCATCAACAGCTTTGCTCAAAAGTTGCAAACAGAAGGCCGTGGCTTTCTTTACTGAGCCGATCCACTTTATGTTGGGTCTTCCTCTTTTTCCTACTGCTCCCAACTTCTCCTAGCACTACTGCCCTTTCCCAGCGAGCCTTGTCTTCTCATGATGTGAACACTGAACAAAGAAGGAGGCAACAGTAAACCACTTCTAATCACCTCGTAGCTTGAAAACCCTATGATGAGAGGACCCAAAACTGGTAGCCTAAGGTCAAAAGCAAACGGAAGATGCCACACACGCTCCTTGGATAACAGTTCCCAGTAAAAGTCTGCAAGCTAGAATGGGTAAGTTCAACAGTCACCCAAGTTGTTCTTAGGGGTACTCTGCACTCATTTTCTTTCCCACACAGAAACAAAGGTGGGGTATGGGGGGGGGGGGCGTGCACACATGTTCAGGCTGGATCCCAGCAAAAGCATACAGGATGTGCAAAGAAGCAATTTAAAGTTCTAGTGTTCTAGATAAAGGAGAGTAATGGCAAAGTACAAAGAAGCTCTACCTTTTCGTGCTCATTAGTACAAAGAACCCCATTAATACAGAGCTGGATCCAGGACTGTAGCTAACGTGGGGCCCACGGGGCCTGGACCCCTAGCATACCTTCTGGGCTCCCTCCCCCCCTGGGCTGGCCTCAAATTGAATTAATGTAATTAACTTTGATTTAATTAGCTACGACCCCCTGAGGCTCCCTAGCTATGGGGCTGGTTGGATTCACAAAGGATGAGGCTTTAATGAGAACACGGATCAAACAAAGTCACCCCTCCTCCCACTTGCATGAGAAGAAAAGCTGGTGGGATCCAACCATGTACTTCCCAGCTAAGCCTGGGAATACAGTCAAGTTTTCCTTAATTGTGTTTGAAAATAGGCAGCATCAATAATCAAAACACTGTTGTCATTGACAACAGCACCTCAGTCTTGTCTGGACTTCATTTTATCGGTTCCTATTCATCCAGTTAACTTCTCCAGGTACCAGCTCAGACCTTCCATGTTAAAGAAATCTCTCCAGAGGTTCTCTTGAAAGGGCTGTAGCTGAGTACATGCCACGTTCAGTCTCTAGCATCTACAGTTAAAATCCCATCTAGAAGGGAGTAGGAAGACATTTGCCTGAGACTAAATCTGCTGCTGATCATGGTGAACAGTTCTAGTTTGGAGGGACCAACAGATTCAGTGGCCTGGTTCAGATGCCATGGCCAAACCATCAGTTATCATCCCCCCCCACACACACACACACTATTTTCAATTTTAAAAAATCGCATTAGAACTTCATAAAAGCGTTCAATATTATCTGAGAACATCAAGAAGTCTAATTAGCCATTTAAACAAAACCTGGATAGCTACAATTACAATGTGTACCTTTTCTCTATGCTGAAGTAATGAAAAGTCACAATAGCAGCAATACTGCAACCCACAAGTTATGTCCTATGTTTAAAAATGCAGCCTCACAAAATTGCTAGCCAGCCTGCCAATTCATACCAATCTTAGTCAACTGTGACACACAGGAAGCCAGAATGAAAAGAAGGAGCCCTTTCTGGAACACTTTCAAGACTAACAAAATTTATCTGAGCAGAAACTTCCAAGAAGAGCGCCCCCCCCCCTCCAGCTACAGAACCCTTGCCTGCTTGGAAGGAATCCTTGTTTGCCACAGGTTACCAGAGTGGTGTGCTTGTCTGGTTTAAAGACTCCCTTTCACTGGTGCTACACAAGAAGGATGCTTTCAGTTCTAAAACTGTAAATACACATTTTTACAATTTTGTTCTAATTGCTCTTGTAGCAGGCAGAGAGATTTGATAAATTTGTTCTCTCTGCTTAGAAGAGCTTTATTTTCATTGAAAAGAACAGCATTTTGGCTCCTGGCATGTCACATCTGCATACTCACTTGGGGGGGGGGGGGCTGCCAATTCTGCAAACAACCAAACCATAAAATGCTTATCTCTCTGGCTTTACTAGGAGTTCATTAGAGTTCAGAGCAGTCAGTCTTACTTTCACACTGCAGGCAATCCATTTTTTGATATGCAGTGCTAAACTTTTATTAGATGACGACTTCGGACACGGGTAAACAATGCTCCCTCTAAGCTGTGGAGTCTTGTGAGCAAAAATTCGACTTTGTGAGCTACTGGCATTAAAGTTGTGAGCGAGCAATTTGGCTACTAAATAAATTAGTTTGCTCTGGAGCCATCCTTTTTGAGCTAAGACAAAAATGTGTGAGCCGGAGGCTAAAACACTGTGAGCTAGGTCACACTAACTCAGCCCAGAGGGAACACTGCAGGTAAGGGAGTCTGAAGTTATGGGGCTGGGGGCGGATGTATCACCATTTGCAGGGCTTTTTTGGTAGAAAAAGCCCAGCAGGAACTCATTAGCATATAAGGCCACACCTAACAGCAGAAACTCATTAGCATATTTGGCCACACCCAGACAGCACAACTCATTAGCATATTAGGCCACACCCAGACAGTACAACTCATTAGCATATTAGGCCACACCCCATGCCTTCCCTTGGCTTGCCCGGACATCCCCCAGCTGTGGGATGTCCAGGCAAGCGCCCCCCCCTTGAAGGGAAGGCAGTTTAAATCGCCTTCCCTTGGCTTGCCCAGGTGCCCCGAGGCTGCAGGATGCCCAGGCAAGCTGGCCCTTGGTCAGGCTGGGGAAGGCACGGGGAGGCATTTAAATGCCTCCCCAATCCTTCCAGGGGGCCCCCAAGCCCGCCCGCCTTGGAGTCGCCGGGGGGAGTTGCTCTCCAGGCCTTCCCTCTGTAGCCACACACAGAGAGGTTTTGGCTGTAGTGGGCGTGGCCAACTCTGAAGCCAGCTGGAACTCCATTCCTGTGCGTTCCTGCCCAAAGATAGCCCTGAGTCCATTTGGCCTCTAACAGTATAGTAACAAACAATGCTCCCTCTAAGCTGTGGAGTCTTGTGAGCAAAACTTCTACTTTGTGAGCTACTGGCATGGAAGTTGTGAGCGAGTGATTTGGCTACTGCATAAATTAGTTTGCTCCAGAGCCATCCTTCCTGAGCTAAGACAAGAATGTATGAGCCGGAGGCTAAAAAACTGTGAGCTAGCTCACACTAACTCAGCTTAGAGGGAACACTGGTAACAATTCTGACTACAAAAAAAAATGCCCTATAACTAAGGAGATATTCTGCTACCTAATGATCACCACACTTTTCGCAGGAGCTCTACAATGGTTATTTGAAATACCGTGACACAGTATGGCCTTGTCCACCCTGTCCTGGTTCTGTGTTTATATTCCCACATAGCAAAGGCAGTGTGAAAAGGCATGTTCCAAAATATGCATAGATCTAACACAATGTGATGCTAAAGCTACTCTCTAAACATACACAAAAACAATGCAATGCCATAAGTGGAAAGCTGGGAAGATGGTTGAAAATGAAGAGGGTGAGACAGCAACACTGTCCATTGCCTATATATTGTCATCCCTTTAGGAGGGAAGTATGTGCCACGACCTTCTGCTCTTGTGCAAACTCCACATCAAAACCGAAGCCTGAGTTAAGGACGGCAGACAGCCACCAGTGAGGGTGTGCACAGTGTAACCTTATCCCCCCAAGGTGTTTCAAGTGGGGTAGCTTCTAGGAAGGGCATGGGGGTGGAGATGTAGGGATGCCTATATATAATGTACAGCTATATATAATACAGCTCTCACAGTCACTGTCTGCTAAAAATCTTCATGACACAATGAAACAGAAGCGTACAATTTTTCCTCCTACAATCAGAACTATGTCTGAGTGGGGAAAAAAGATACTTTGGCTTTCACAAAAAGACAAGACCAACATAGTTAAAACTGGTGCGGAGAAAACTCCTGAATCATATTAGAGTTGCCAAATAAGTGACATGAACAAATGCTCAAAAATACAAACACTGAGAAACTCAAGTTGAAGCCCAATATAAAATAAGACTCTGTCCATGCTGTCAGTTAAAGTCTATTACTACTTTTCCTAATCTTAGCTCACAGATTGCTAAGAAAACAACCCAAATGGAAGATTTAAGGCTAATGAAACTACAGAAATGACCAGAGAAGCTCCATGGCCTTGGAAAAAGGAAAAGCAGCTGTGCAATCCTTGAGCTTCTCTAGCAAACCTCTGGAAAGCTGCTCATTAGCAAGCAGCTTTTTATGTGTTCTCTGTCAGTCCTCCTTGCCTCCTTTATTTTTATGCTCTTTTTTGGCAGCATGTTTGGCTCAAAATATATGTAAACACTACAACCTAGGGAAATTTGTACTTTGCACCAAGTAACTATGACTTCATCAGCATCACAAACCTGCTCTTTTGGAGGAGTGGCTGAATCTGTTTCACAGAATTATGCTAATTATTCTATTGTGGTAGTTTACCTTGTTTTATGAAGCCATTTTGGGTGTAGAAGTGGAACAATCCCACCCCCCACCCCCCAATAAATAAATCCACACAAGCATCCTTAGGATTGTCCTTAAGACTGTTTTTCTATTGTGGTACTGTTATAGACATGTGAAAAAAACAACTTTGCTGCAGCACTGTCTGGTAACTTCTTACCCAACAAAGAAAGCATAAAAGTGAATACCGTGTGGGAATTGTGTAGTTTGACAATCTCTCTGACTGCATATGAACAAATACAGAACCCTTTGTAGCAAAAAAGAAAGAAAAGAAAACAGTAGTTCTCATGGTGAGAGTAAGAATGTCTTTTATGATGTTAATAGGTAAGCATCGGGAAGAATTTAGCTTAACCAGCAGGTTACACCAATTACCAGAATGCTGCAGCCAGTTCCAAATGGTGCGTGCTAAACATCTGAAAATATAAAGCAGGAACATTTGTCTTCAAACCAGATACCACATGGTGCCCCCTCCCGCAAAACACACTGCAAGCACCAGTAAATTATTTTTTAGCTTAATTAAACATTTGTAAAATGACTCTTACATCTTTTGCAAGCGAAGATACTTCTACTGAAAGCCAAATTCCCAAACCACAGCTACTTTTTTGTCAGAAACGCAGAATAAAAACACACCTTCCAAAGCAGCTCCAGTAATTCAATACACAATACTGTTGGCAGGTGCTATGCATAAGAGAAAATAAGACCCACCATAGCCTAAAGCTTACCCCTCAGCAGGACCACGCTGATCCTTCCATTGCTGGGACAGACAATCCATTGTCCCTTTCTCCTCTGGCTGGGGACAAGTTGAAAAAACCTGCTCCTGGGCCTTTACTACTAAAATCACAGAGCAACTTGGTGCTTGGGGGGGTCAACAGTGGGAGGGCTTCTAATGCCCTGGCCCCACTGGTGGACCTGGTATTTTTGGCCACTGTGTGAGAGTGTTTGACTGGATGGGCCATTGGCCTGATCCAAAATTGTCATCTCTTATGTTCTCTTATGTCCTTAACTGGCTTGCTCTATGCTGGAATACTGTCCTATTATGAAGTTTGTGTTGCCTAGAGGCTGGGAGTACACTTTTATTCTACCTTTTGATGTTTGAGCTCAGGGATTTTTTAAATATTTCAGCAGTTGAGGTGCCTGGGCATACTTTATAAGAGATATGATACAGTTAGAGGATTTTCTCTCATGTTTTATTGAATTTTTTCACAGCATTTAACTTTATTAGGTACTGATTTGAATAATCTATACAACCTTTCACTCACCCACCCACCATCTGGAAAAATCCCTTCACATGCAGAAGAAGCTGCCATACAGTTTGGGGAAAGGCCAAATCAAACAATGAAGTTTACTGTGACAACTGCTAAAAATCTCAGAAGACTCAGACCAAGCTGACTGAATGCTCAACATCTCAGAGTCTCCAGATTGTCTTCCAGAAGCACCAAACATTAACACATGATACATTCATCCTAGTACTGCATCAGTTCAGAATACAGGTAGAGGTCTGAGTGGCTGAATACTCCCCCACATAAAAATAAGCTTCTACACATAATTTTAAAAACAGCACGTCAGTAAGAAAGCAAAACTTTGTTAAATGTGCAAGTTCTCCACATGGTATGAAAGGAGTTTCCTTTCTTTGCATACAGGGGCTTTGAACATGCTGTCCTTCATCTACATTTTGAACAGGGGGCAGGCAGACTTTGTTTGCCCAAGTGCTCAAAACATCCCTGTGAAGATGCTGGAGGAGGAGACTGTTGTACTTGGAAACACACTATAAGCAAACCAAGTTCTAGCAGGGCAGCCAGGATTTCAGGGATCTGCCTTGAATTCATCTGATGGCCATGCAGGATTTGGAGATCATGGACATAAGCCACACCAAGTGCTTTCTCCAGCACTGCTGGGATGCTTTGGCAGACATCTGGACCTGGGCGCTAAGCAAAAGACTGAAGTGCTGCTGTCAACACATGTCAAGGGTGGCCTACCTCAGAAGTGTTCCCTCTAAGATGAGTTTAGTGTGAGCTAGCTCACAGTTTTTTAGCCTCTGGCTCACACATTTTTGTCTCTGCTCAGGAAGGATGGCTCCAGAGCAAACTAATTTATGCAGTAGCCAAATCGCTTGCTCACAACTTTAATGCCAGAAGCTCACAAAGTCGAATTTTTGCTCACAAGACTCCACAGCTTAGACGGAGCATTGCTCAGAACCCAACCAACACAACCCAAGGAAGGCAGAATTGTTATCATTTTTGAATGAGTACCTTGGCTCTAACTTGGCAGGCTCCTACACATTCTAAACCCTCACACTCAATGACAATAACACACCATACGCCAGAAAAGCTCCCAGAACTAACATTTGCAAGCCAGCCAAATCAAATACCACAGTAAAACCAAAACATTCCAAGGTCTTTGACCAAGGTGATCTAACAGAAAGCGCTTAAAAGAGTTACACACAAATCTTGGCTAGTGTACAACCTAGTTCTGATTACTTCCTATAATAGGGAACTTTCTCCTCAGATTTTCTTCATAATCACAGTCTTATTTTGAGGTGGGTTTGAGAATCCTTCTGTCTATGCTGAAAAATTAAAACAAGAGATGTTGCTATTTGCCTGAGTAGGACAACACAACATAGTTCACAGGCGTAATATTTCCTCATTTAAATACACTTTTTTAAAAAGGACAAAACAATAGAAATCAGTCTGTTTTCTTTTTAATGGTCTCCCTATGAGTTAGGCTGGCAACTGGTTGTTTTACAGCTGAACAAGAGAACACAAAAGGATTAAAATAGTTCTTCCATACACCTCACAGTACGTCTTAACTCTAGAAACCTTGGCCTCAATAATACAGCCTTTCCTCTGCCTGAAAAAGGTCCCAGGGCCAATTGACATTATCTTCAGTTTTTAAAAGGAAGTTGTTAGAAAAGTCTACTTGAACGTGACCCTGGCGATTTACTGCGCCACTGGACTCAAACTTTGTTGCACAAAATCAGTGTGTTTCAAGATTTCCGGAAGAAAAACTGGGATCCAGCTCCGCTAGGTTTATGAGACCAGTGCTTTAATTTATTTATTTAAAAAAACGGCAGAAAGCAACCTGATTTTAAAAAAAAACACACCCTCCCTGCGAGGCAGGCCACTGCCGAGAAGAAGGCAAAGCCTGCGGTCCTTCCCCGATTGGTTCGAAAAGCTCCCAGGCCACCCTGACGAGCCCCGTCGGACGCTTCAGAGGCTCTTCGGGGCGCCCGAGCTGAGAGAGAGGGAGGGAGAGAGGGAGGGAGGGAGGGAGAGGCGGGCTGGCCAACCAGCGGCTGCCTCATCAGGCACCCCGCGCGCACACCCGCCCGCCCCCTCAACCGCTTGCTTCCCCGTCCCGTTACAGGAGAACACCGGCGGCGCCTCCTCCTCCGCTTCTCTCTCACCTTGCTCAGGACGGAGAAGGGGAGGCGGCGCGGCCCGAGCCGAGGGGGAGCCGCTTCCCTCGGCGACCGCGAGCTCCCTTCATTCAAGGGCAGAGGAGGCCGTGGCCGCCGGCAACGCTGCTAACTACTGTGAGGGTCGCGGGCGCCATCACCTCCCTCGCGGGCCGCCACAGCCGCCTCGGCCTAGTCGTCACCCGGGAGACCCGCTCGCTCGAGCCCGCCTCTTCCGGCCACGCCCCCTCTTTTCCGGGCTCGCCGAGGAAGGGGAAGGAGACGTTGCGTGTCTCCAGGAGCCGGGGAGAAGAGGCTGGGAGAAAAGCGCTAGGCTGGGAGGCGGGGCTTGAGCGGCACGTGACTGCGCTGGGGCTCTCGCCTCGTGGACGGTCCGGCGTGCCATTGGGAAGCACCGGTTGCGGGAGTTGCTGCCGCCATAATTGCCAAAAAGGGCAGGGAGGGTAGTGCTTACTTATGTATACGTACATAGGCATGTGCATGTTTAGGGATGCCATCCTCCAGGTAGTACCTGGGGACCCCCCCCCTCCCCGGAATCTCCAGATATGGTTGCCGCCAGATCCCCCCCGGCTGCCGGATGAGGGAGTAGGCTGGCCAGATCCAGGTTGGGAAACTGGAGATTTGGGGATGGAGCCTGGGGAGGACAGGGACCGGAGTGGGGTACAATGCCATAGAGTCCACCCTCCAAAGCATGCATTTTCTCCAGGGGAACTGATCTCTAGTCTGGAGAGGAGCTGTAATTCCAGGGGATCCCCAGGTCCCACCTGGAGGCTGGCATCCCTGTCTGCAGACTAGAGATCTGGAGTAAACGGAGGATAGACTGTGGCACAGTACCCCACTGAGGACCCTGTCCTTCCCAGGCTCTATCCACCAGGAGTTTCCCAACCTGGTTCTGGTAACCCCATCACTTGCCAGTGGCCAGTGGGGACCTGGCAACCCTAGCCTGTGTAAACTGTGTGTAGAAAAGAGCAAGAGTCCAGTGGCACCTTAAAGACTTAACAAAATTTGTGGCAGAGGATGAGCTTTCATGAGTCACTGCTCACTTCTTCAGACTTATATATAAATAAAATACCCTCAAGTCACCACCAATTTATAGCTACCGGTCATGGTTTTTTCAAGGAAACATTCAGAGGTGGTTTGCCATAATTTAAGATAGCAGAACAAACCAAGAAAAAAAAAAACAAGGTTGGGTGCTCCCAGAGCTAGCACAAAGACAGTAGGTGTGGAAAGTTTTGGATTTGGATCTTGCCTGGACCAGAAACCTGCCTCTGTCTCAGCTCCCCTTTCAACTGGAGTAGAGAATACTGGCCTACTTTACAGGGCTGCTGTACAGATTACATGATAATCCATATGAAGCGTCTCACTGACAGTGTTCTATAAAAATATTTTTAATTCTACCTCATTGGTAAGATGTCCAGACACATACAAAAGCATTTGCCATTACATTTAGAATAGGAATTGTCACCAAATTAAGCTAACATACAATACACCTGACATGGCCTGTACTCCTGTAGTCAAGCACCAGCCTCACACATTAATCCTATACACATTTCCTTGGGAAGTTATCCTATTGAACTTTTTTCCAAACATGCACACATATCATGCCATAATCGGCAAATTACATTTTTCAATTTTGAGTGTCCTTGATTCAGTGGACTGATTCATGTTTACTCACTGGCCAATCTCAGCTAGATTTATCCACATCCGCTTGCCATGCATACAACCCAACACTGTTAGCATCTAGTCTTTCCCCTGGATTTTTACCCCATAGTGATACAAGGTTGGATCCGGAACACCCTTGCACCAAGTCTTCCTGCAACACTGAAAAGCTTCTTTTAACAAAGCCAGACTTTTCTCCAGCAGAAAAAAACCCCACTATTGGAAATAGCCTCTTGTTTGAAGGCAGACTTAGCAGAACAGTCATAGGATCAACACACACAGGTCACAAAGAGGGAAATATGTGCTTTTTTAATTATTTTCCAATCTTGCCTAGTCTTGCATGAAAGACTAGTAGTCCACTGTACAACGAAAGATCGTTTCAGGTGGGTAGCAGTTACACAAATGCTGAATAATACACTTCCGGTGCACTTTACAGCTCGATTTTCCTGGTAAAATGGTAGACTCACCTTGCAAATGATCACAAAAGTGGACTGAAAGTGCATTATTCAAGTGTGAAAGCACGTTTAGTCTGCAGTGGTAAAACAAAATCCGAGCCCAGTAGCACCTTGAAGACCAACAACGTTGTCCAAGGAGATGGAAGTGAGCATTGTCTGATGAAGTGAGTATTGACTCACAGAAACTTAAACCCTGGCCAGTGTTGGTCTTTAAGATGCTACTGGACTAGCATTTTATTGGACAACCAAAATACCATTTCAGAATCTACCTTGCACTGCCCTGTCAACCTTTCAATCAGATTCCCCCAAAATCTAGCTGTTTCACTGACAAGTGGCATACCCAGAATATAAGCTTGAATGGGCTGAATGCTAAAGGCTGAGTCTGTGGTGGCTGAGAGAGTAAGGATAATGTAGCAGAGATTCTCTGTAGTGTGCGGATCATTTTCCGAATTCCCCCACTTTCATTTTCAGTGGCATCCTTTCATCTTGCTGTCGTGAAATTGAAACAAGATGCTTGCTGCTGCACAGGTTCTGTTGTTCACAGCTCTGCTGGTGCATTTTGAGATAGACCTCAACCCTCCAGGTACGACGACAGACCAAGGTGCGAGAGGAAACAAGCTGATACATGTCAGTCACAGTAAGCCACACAACATACTTTTAATGGCAAGAAACGTAGCGTCTTTCCAACATACGTCATAAGGTGTTTGGAGGGTTTTTTTAATTAAAATATCAAGATTAAATTTTCAGTGTAGCAAAGTACACTTCCAGTAACTAAATGTTTTTTTAAAAAAGTTAACTTTCACCCTAAAGCACAGAGGAAAAAAATGTCTTCCAGTTTCTGGCATGATTCACTTAACACAACATGGTAAGACTCAACGGAAGAATCAAAGGCTGGCGTGCTGAGCGAGGAATGTTCTTATTCTTTGTAAAAGCTCTTTCTTTACGCTGTCAGGTACCAAAGCTGAAATACAAACAGGAAAGAGCCGGGGAGAGAAAACATTATTATTATTATCCTGTTGTCACTGCATTATTTTCTATGGATGTAATATCATTTTTCGGCATTGTATCTACTCTGCGTCATGTATTAATATGCCATGCTTGCTCAGATTGTGTAGTCCTGGTCCTGGTGCCTGGCTTATTAGATGTCTCAGCATATTGATTGCATTGACTTAACATGGCACAATTCGCTTGTGAGAAAGTGAATTGTGTCTCAGTGAGAAAGGCGGACTATAAATAAAGGAAATAAGTAAAATAAAAATAAGATAAGTGAAACATGTGCCACTACTGAAAACCCCCAACCTCTGGTTGCCCCCTTACTTCTGAAGGTGGGAAGGCAGAGATAGCAAGCCTTGAGAGGCAGCTCTTAACTGGCAGGCTTGACAATATGGGAGGAGGTGGTCCTTCAGGTATCATGGCCCCAAGCCATTTAGGTCTTTAAAGGTAAAAACCAGCACTTTGATGCTGTATCTTAGCTTTGATGGACACAGACGGATCCAGCTATGCTCCGGACTGCACTGTAAAGGATCCCCCCACCCTGGTTTTGCTGTTTGCTACACCTGCAGAACTGAGGGGAGGGGGGGAATCAAGTACCTGGCAGTTCACCACGAGCCTACATTCAACATGCTGAACCATAATTCCTTTTCCGCAAGGGCTCCATGTTTTTGCAATTCTCCCCTGAGAACATGTCCCATTCCTAATGTCCTGGCCCCACTGGTGGACCTCCTGATGGCACCTGGTATTTTTGGCCGCTGTGTGACAGAGTGTTGGACTAGATGGGCCTTTGGCCTGATCCAACATTAGCATCTCTTATGTTCTTATAACAGCCCACAAATGTCTAGAAGAACCTTTTTATGGTATGGTTGACACAGACATTCATGGGCTGGACCCTGAAAGCCCAGTCTGATGTCACCTGGTATTTTTGGCCACTGTGTGACAGAGTGTTGGACTAGATGGGCCATTGGCCTGATCCAACATTGGCTTCTCTTAATCCCCCGGGGAGTGACACTCTCCAGCAGAAGGAGCCTTTTCCTGACAGACAGCCTCTCGCATCTGGGGAAGGCAGCTTGTGCTAAAGGAAAGTAAATCCAATGCATTTACTGCTGCTCATTGTGTACTTGTTTGCTTGGATTGATATCCTGCCCTCTCCGCAAGCAGGCTCAGGGCGGGTCACAACAGTTTGAACAACAATACAGTAATAAATGCACATTAAAATTTTAAATCAACAGCACCGACTCTTTATTTCTTGCGTCCACCAGCTCCTCCCAACAGAGCCCATTCAGTGGATGCCAAGACAGTTTTTTTATAAGGAGGATTCATACAAGGGAAGCTCACCTGGCCAGTGTGAGCAGGGGAGGCCAGGGTCTTCAGGTGTCTGCCGTCTCAACCAAAGGCCTGGCAGAAGACCTCCGTTTTACAGGCCCTGCGGAATTGCACTAAATCCCGCAGGGCCCTGATCTCGAGTGGGAGCCTGTTCCACCAGGCTGGGGCCAGGACAGAAAATGCCCTGATCGAGGCTAAGCGGACATCTTTCGGGCCAGGGACTACCAGCAGATGTTGCTCAGCAGGGCACATAAAGGGAGAGGCGGTCCCGCAGGTGTGTTGGTCCCAGGCTGCATAGGTATTATCTGTTCTGGCTGTATGTTTTTCTTTTTTTAGAAACAATTTTTGTGTTAATCACGCCAATGGTTTTTATTTGCTGTGGCCTGGCTTGGGTTCCTTTGAACGAAAGGCAGGATACAGATTCCAAATAAAAATTTAACTGGAATGATATTTCTAGCTCCTTTGCAAAAGGGGGTGGGGGTTCTTTTAAGGACTTTCAGTTAATTGCCAAGAAAATTAAACTCCTGTGAAAAGGTTGCAGTACATGAATCATGATGAAAGAGGAGGCTCTCCTAGCCTTACAATAATCACACTGTGTTGCATTCTCCCTTTGTCATAAGCATAATTTGGGGTAGAATAGAAATAAATGCTGTATATGTTGGTGTAGACTTGAGGACAGCTCCAGTAATTCTCTTACCTCTGCCTTTTGGAGTGATTTCTGCCACCAAATCATCAACAGTAACATGTTCTAGTCCTTTCTCTTTGATGACATCTAAAACGAGAGAGAGGTAACAGACTCACCATTTTAGAACTTCGAAACAGGCACTCCTCATCGAGCTGAATGTACCCAATGGGATTTTGGACCTGGACCTGTTGAACAGCAGCCCTCACCTCATCTTGCTACCTGGCAAAAGAATTTCTGAAACTGCCCTCTTGGGTTCCCTCCTCCCTCTCAGATTATCTTCGTCCCACACTTTCCTCTTCAGCAACAACCATGGGGAACATTATCCTCGGTGCCTACGTAATGCTACACTGGGGTTCACAAGAAAATGGGAGGAGATAATTTGATTGAGAGGAAAAGGGAATGGAAGCAAGTGAGCCTACAGGGTGCTCCTGATGTCTTAAGCACTGTCAAGAGGGATGCATATTGGCTTAGAAAGGCTAAGAGACAGAGGAGCCGACAGAAGGCAAAGATAATAGGATCAGCTACCACATACATTGTTGGGTGTGACAGCATTTGCTCTCCACTTACTCTTTCGGAGTGCTAAATCTTGGAGGAGGAACCTCAAGCAAGATAACACTATAGCCAATGGGTCAAATCCTACCCCTCCTTTTCACAAATGCCAGAAGCCCCATCTTCAGGCAGTGGAGGCTCTGTTACTGCAGGAGGGGCACCACACGAACACAGGAGTCTGCCTCATACTGAAAGGGGAGGGGCTGTGGCTCAGTGGTAGAGCATCTGCTTTGCATGCAGTTGATCCCACGTCCAGACCCCGGTAACTCCAGTTAAAAAAGGAACAGGCAGTAGATGACAAATACCTGAGTCCCTGAAGAGCCAATCTGGGTAGACAATACTGACTCTGATGGACCAAGAGTCTGATTCAGTAGAAGGCAGCTTCATGTGTTCATACGAATCAAATCCTTGGTCCATCAAGGTCAAAAGTGTCTACTCAGACTGGCAGTGGCTCTCCAGGGTCTCAGGCACAGGGCTTTCACATCACCTACTGCCTGGTCCTTTCAACTGGATATGGTGGGGATTGAACCTGGGACCTTCTGCATGATGTTCTCCCACTGCGATTCTCTACCATTGAGCCACAGCCCATGCTTCCTCCTCTCCTTTGCAGCCTCCCATTTTCATGGCTTTTAAAGTCCATAGGGACCTATGTCACCTTCTGCTGGTGCTGCACAGGATCCAATCCCATATATACTTTAATTTAGCGTGTTAAGCACAGAGTACTTTGGAGTCGAAGATATGAAGCAAAGAAATACTGAAACATATGTCCTATTTTTTTCACAGTAGTTCATAGTTATTGGCTATTCATTTATATTCTCTTCTGGAATCAAACTGAAGCAAAGAAATATTGTCCTATTTTTTCACAGTAGTTCATGGTTATTGACTATTCATTTATATTCTCTTCTGGAATCAAGAATGGTTCTACAAGGCATTGGGTTTGAAATGCCGTATCTGAGCCTTTGTAAAACACGCAACTACATTTCAGTCCGTCAGCATCTAAAATGAACTTTGCAAATTCTTATTTCCCCATGGATTCATGACTTAGATCTGTCAACAGGTGTAAGGTCATGGGAATCAACTGAAGGTTACCTTTACAGTGTGCCTTTAACTGGTCTTTCCAGCCACATTCAATTAACTTGGCTCTTAGTAATTCTTTAAGGCTGGGGGAAAACACACACACACACACAAAGTTAGAGACCTGCTAAGCAACATAATGCATTTCTTAAAACAATCAGTTAACACAGGCAATCAAGCAAAAGTTTTACTGATCTTGATTTCCCAGTGATTGGGGGGGATTAACAAGCATTCTACAGAATTGTAATTCAATTTAAAAATAAAGGGAATAATGATTAAAAGGAATACTTGACCTTTTGAATCTGCACTCTTTCTATTCTACCTGTTAGGAAGTTAAAACTGATTTGCCAACCTGGCCAGACAAACAAAGGTAAAACAAAACTCCTCCGTATTTGATACAGATTGCTGTCCAAGACTTTTGGGCCATCAAACTTAAAAACAAATAAGGATAAGGATACAGATTGTCCGGAGGACTGGACATGGATGAAAAGCTGGGCTAGAAATGTTAAAATAAATTCCAGAGTAGGTCAACTGCTGCATGAGCTTTGGTTATCGTGAGCTTCTTCAAGTTTTCTTAAACTTGATAGCTAATGGAAAGCCTTGATTTACAAATACCTCCTATCAAAATCTGCATTCTCCATGTGATATACAGCCACTGAAACATGTGGATGTTTTTCACAATGTCCGCCGCACACACACACCTGCCCCCAGATGGCCTTCTGGTCTGATTAAGCATAGTTATTTTTATCATACAGTGAGAATGTAACTGACACAATATATTCATACAGCAGGGATGAGAAAGCCCACGTACCGTTCTCGCTCTCCCGTTTCAATTAGTTTTTGGTTAATAGTTGCTCTCATCTGTGCATCTTTGTTCATTTTTTTTCAAGTCTGTATACACGAAACAGGTCTAATAAAAACAAAAATCCAAGATCAAAATTGTTGCCAAAGAACACCAGTGATGAACTTCCATCCCAAGCTAGGGGGGCATGCACTTATGAGCCAGCAAGCCTAAGGCACCCCACTAACCATGTTTTGTGTCTAGCCAGGGGTGTGACAAATCTCTTATCTTTGCTGGGATTGCAAAGACAGTCTGTAAAGCCAGCGGTAAGCTTCCCCATAAGACTGGTGGTTGTGTTCAGTTCCATGGGTCACACACCGCGCAAGCGTGCTCTGAGATTCTCTACTGTGTGCTTGCAACGGTTTGCTTTGTACAGCCAGATACAGCAATAAAACAATGCTCGCCACTGATCTTTCTGCAAATGTGAGGCAACAGCATCTGTTGATTAGTTAGGAATAATAAAAAACGGTTTCTAGATGCGAACAGTGAGGCCACACACCAGTACAATCCTAAACACAGTTGCATACTTCTAAACAGACTGGGAAGTCAATGGGCTTAAAGGGCTGTGACTCTGTTGATGATCACACTGCTAATTTACTCTGGCTCTGCTTAGAGATAAAACAGATTTCTGCTTTTCTCACTACATGCCTACTATGCCAGATCACTTTATTGAAGGCATGCAGTATAATTCTGTGTGTTCCTTACGAGTCCCACTGTGTTAGACTGGCCCCACATGTTATGTGCTGTCAAGGTCCTGCCGACTTATGGCAACCCAATGAATTAATGACCTCCAAAATGCCCTGTCATTAACAGCCTTGCTCAGGTCTTGCAAGCTGAAGGCCGTGGCTTCCTTGACTGAGTCAATCCACCTCACCTCTTTTCCCATTGCCTTCAATTTCTCCTAACATTATTGTGTTTTCCAGTGGCGTCTTCTCATAAGGTGACCAAAGTACGAGCGCCTCAGTTTAGACGTTTTAGCTCCTAGGGAGAGTTCAGGCTAGATTTGATCTAGAACCCACTTATCCTTGTTGAGGATCCCACTGCACTGTTACCAGCCTTCATGTCGACTTTTCAGCCTATACAGGGGCATCTTTGTTCTATAATTTTTTTCCCCTTTGGTACTAATCCTCAGACATGTTTCCTGGGATCCAAGCCTGCAGTCCTATTGGTACTTCCGTGCGCCTGGGTGTTTAGTCATGCCGGCCACATGACCACGGAAAATGTCTTCGGACAGCGCTGGCTCTTCGGCTTTGAAACGGAGATGCGCACCGCAACCCTAGAGTCGGATTCGACTGGCTTTCGAGCAAGGGGACCTTTACCTTTTAATGCCCACTGAACAAAACTGTGAGTAAACATGCAGATGCTTGCATTTAGTTCAGTGAGACGACTTACCATGCAACCCAAAACAAAGTTACATCCTTATAACTCCACTGAAGTAAACTGGCTTAGGAGGATGTGCCTTTGCTTCGTACTGCACCATGTCTCCCAAGAAAGCATACACAGGATCACAAACGTGGCAGCTGTCAAGTTCTCGCCTGATGCCCCATTTTCTTTATTCATTTTCAGGGGTACCTGAAATAAACTCAGACCCGCGCACTCTTTGATGTAATATGACTACAATGTTTTCTAGTGTCTCTGCTCTAGTCAACGATCAGTGTTGGGGGAACCAGGGCTGGCTGTCAAGGCCTGTTTCTCTCATCCAGGAATTCTGCATCTCAGATCTTATTTTTACATCCTTTGCACACTGCCTTTCTCCAAAAGGGAACCCAGAGTGGCTCACATCATTCTCCTCTCCTCCACTTTCCCCTGGGAGGTAGATCAGGCCAAGGGTATGTGACTGGCCCACGATCCCCCAGCGAGCTTCCAGGGCACGAGTGGGGATTTGAACTTGGGGTCTCCCAAATCCTATTCTGACACTCTGACAACGATTACACCACACTGGGTCTCATTTCAGATTTTTTTAAAAAATCACATATTCTTTGACACCGCTATGGTACCTGAAGCTTGATAAGTTCCTCTGCCTTTCAGTGCCAAAACTTTCTTACTAAATTGTATAAAGGCAGTTGATGTAGCTAAGCACTGCTGAACAGCAGCAAGACAAAATACACTCTTAACCAAACTGACAGGTTAAGAAAGTTTGGTAATGTAATTAGAATGGCAGAACTAATAGCACTGAAGTGAAGTAAACCTGTTAAATTCGGGAAAGCCAGCCGGCAACTGCTGCTATAGAAAAACAGGTGGTGGTAGTAGTAGTAGTAGATTGGATTTATACCCTGCCCTTCACTCAGAGTGGAGGAAGAGATTGGATTTATACCCTGCCCTTCACTACCCAAAGGTGTCTCAGAGCGGCTTACAAACTCCTTTCCCTTCCCCTCCCCACAACAGACACTCTGTGAGCAATGTTCTCTCTAAGCTATGGAATTTTGTGAGCAAAAATTCTACTTTGTGAGCCACTGGCATTAAAGTTGTGAGCGAGTGATTTGGCTCCTGCATCAATTATTTTGTTCTGGATCCATCCTTTCTGAGCTAAGACAAAAATGTGTGAGCCAGAGGCTAAAAAACTGTGAGCTAGCTCACACTAACTCAGCTTAGAGGGAACACTGCCTGTGAGGTAGGTGGGGCTGAGAGAGCTCTGACAGAAACTGTTCTTTTTCAAGGACAGCTCTTATCAGAACTATGACTTACCCAAGGTCATCCAGCAGGTGCAAGTGGAGGAGTGGGGAATCAAACTTGGTTCTCCCAGGTTAGAGTCTGTGCACTTAACCACTACACCAAACTGGCTTACAAACGCCTTTCCCTTCCCAGAACAGACACCCTGTGAGGTAGGTGGGGCTGGGAGCGTTTGAGTTTGGCTATAGTGTTATCTATGTGTGCTTACAGTATCTACTGTGTTTAATGTGTTTTACTAAATTTAATGTATTTGCAAGTGTATTTTATAGTACACTATTATTTTTCTCTAAAGTTAATAAACTCAGCTTGTGAGAGGAGGACAGACAGATAAAAGCCATGTTAAAACTTACATTTTTTAAAAGAAGGAACCCACAGAATACTGCTTCCTACAAGATTTCAAACACCAGCGTGGGCCGATAATCTCAATCTCACCGCTGCTTCTGCCAAGGAAGAGGATAAAAATATTTTTTTAGTAATAGATTGATTTCATTGATGTTTGCACACGCCGTCACTTCACGGTGTAAACGTCTTCTGGCTTGGCTCTGCTGGGGTCACTACACAGAGGCAGGCAATGTTACACCACCTTTATTACTCTCTTGCATTCTGCCATTGAAAATCCCACGGGGTTGCCATAAGTCGTTTTTGACTTGACAGCACTTTCCACTATGACCAAATTAGACCCAGAAAGAAAAACAGGTCCAAAGTAACCCACAGTACAGTCCTAATTCCACAGCAGGCAATGGTTTTAGAAAGGTTTAGGACTGCACTGGTAGCTTGGCCCATCCACTGTTTAGGTAGCCTGGCCCATCCACTGTTCCCCGGAAGGCCAGATAATAAAACTGAAGCTCAAATACTTTGGCCACCAAATGAGAAGGGAGCACTCACTGGAGAAGACCCTGATGCTGGGAAAGATTGAGGGTCAAAGAAGACGGGGACGGCAAAGGATGAGATGGTTGGACAGTGTCATCGATGCAACGAACATGAAATTGAGTCAACTTCAGAGGACGGCGGAAGACAGGAGGGCCTGGCGGGAGCTGGTCCATGGGGTCGCGAAGAGTCGGACTCGACTGTGCGACTGAACAACAACAAGGACTGCACTGCCAGTCAACTATAGGGCCTAGTGGGGAACTTGACACGACCCCCATCCATGACAGCGTTGTTGTTTTTGGCCTTCAAGTCACAGCTGACTTATGGCGACCCCGTAGGGTTTCCAAGGCTAGAGAAGTTCAGAGGTGGTTTGCCATCGCCTGCCTCTGTGTCGCGGCTCTGGTATTCCTTGGACGTCTCCTATCCAAATACGTGCCAGGTCCAACCCTGATTAGCTTCCAAGATCTGACAGGACCGGGCTAGCCTGGACCACCCAGGTCAGGGTATACTGCTTCAGTATCCCAGATAGATTTTAAAATTATGTTTCCTCCTAAACCTTTTCTGCAGTTGCAAACACAGTAGCCCTAAGAGGACTTGGCAGACTAAACAGAAAAGGCTAACACACGATAAGACATGGTCAACCATCGTAGAAATATGTGACTGGAGACAGAGTAATGGGCACTTCTCCTTGCTACAGCTAAGGCTGACAGTATTACTACTTAGATCGAGATGGGTTGCCGTGTTAAGTCTGTCTAGAGCAATAGAAAAGATCAAGAGTCCAGTAGCACCTTAAAGACCAGCAAAATATGTGGCAGGGGATGAGTGACGAAGAAGTGCGTAGTGACTCATGATGAAAGCTCATACCCAGCCACATATTTTCTTGGTCTTTAAGGTGCTCCTGGACTCTTGCTCTTTTCTAGTATTACTCCTTGAGATTCTCTGATGCTGCTTTCCCATTTAAAAATGCCCCAAATTATTTTCAAAAGCCTGTCCCTATCTGTTTGCTCACAAGTCAGTACTGTCCAGGACCCCAAGTCTAGGACTATGTAGACAGCCATTATTTGTGCTCGCCATGCCTCCCTTTTCTAGGTCTTCGGGCACTGAGAACCTGAGAAGAATCAGACTAACTTTGCCCTGGTCTTTGGGGCAGGCCAAAGCAGCCCGAACGCTTTGTTCCTCTTCTGCATGCAACAGATCCAGCACCAAGCTCACAAAGGCTGCAACCCTAAGCACACTGACTAGGGAGTAAGCCCCACTGAATGCACTAGGGTTTACTCCTGGGTATGCATGCTTAGGATCGCACCATAAGGCTTCTGCTGTCCCTCACGTCCTGCAGACACGCAAAGAAAACTTGGGAGAGATGTTGCATCCTGATGGAAAGGTCAGAAACAGCACAAGGAACTTGAATCATTTGGATTCAGGGGAAAGGAGGACTGGTGGTCTTCTATGAAAAGAAAAAAGCACCTAGCAAAAACAGGGGGGGATTCTTGAACTGGGAATGTGGCTGGCCGTGGCTGAATTCAGCCATGCTTGGTGGTGGAAAGCGCCATCAAGTCACAGCTGACATATGCCGATCCCTCATGGGGGTTTCAAGGCAAGAGATCTTCAGAGATGATTTATCATTGCCTGCCTCTGCATCGTGACCCTGGTATTCCTTGGAGGTCTCCAAATATTGACCAGGACCAACCCTGCTTAGATTCTCAGAGCTGACAGGATCAGGCTAACCTCAGCCATCCAGGCTTACTCACAAGTAAATGTGCAAAACACCTCTGACACTAATGCTATTTGTTCCCTCTGCTAGCCAAATCTACGGATTGCAGGGACCCAGCCTTTTCTTAAACCAGAGTGGAGGAAGCACTGCCCTTTGTGTTGCAAACCAAGTTCTCCCGAATATATCTACACTTTACAGATTTGCTTTGGACAACGCCAGGATTCACACATTTAACATAGCCGTTGCCTTTTTCAAAATAACCTGCAGTCTCATAAGAAGATACGGTGAGAGCTGGATCAGACCAGCAGCCTGTCAAGGCCAGGCCACCAGCCTGTTTCCCAAAAGGGGCAACAAGATGCCGCAACACAGTCAGAGCTCAAAGCTTCCCCCTGTTCTTGCCTCAGCAACGGGCATCCTGAGGAATACTGCATCTGAACATGGAGGTTTCATGTATTCATCACCATTTTGAACAGCCACTGACGACATGAAGGTGGCCTATACTACCAAAGACCAATAAGAGATCTAATAGCCCCCCCCCCTTTAAAATTAAATTAGTGGCAGGGAGTTCCACAAGTCAGTTTCACCCTTTGCAAAGAAGACTTTTTTTTGCCTCTACATGCCCATGAGTTTTGGCTATTTGGGGAGGAGAGCAGCGTTCTGTCTATCCACCTCCTCTGCACCATGCCTGATTTTATAAATCTCCATCCCCGCCTTCCTCCCTCGAGAAAGGGGGGCAATCCTCCCTCCCTTCTTGTTGCGTTCCATTGTCCAAACCTCTTGGAAGCGAGGGGACGGGACGGGACTCTCCCCCTTTTCGTTTGCTTTCACAACTGCCTTCAGCAAAGCGCAAGTTCCACACCGCATTCCCAGCCTACTTCTGAAATTCCTAATCATGCAGACGCAGAAGAACTCACCGCTGTCCTGAGCTGCGGTTACCCAATTCAGGAACTGCAAGTCAAAGACACACCCCTTCCCCACCATCCCTGGGAATGGCAAAAGCAGCACGTCCAAAAAAGGGATCCAAAACGCGAATCGGGCAACTCCTCTCTCCGTTGGTCAGGCGAGGAAGGGAGGCGCCTCCAGCCCAAGGAGCCGAATGCCCGAGTTGAGAGAGGCGCCCGGCGCTCCCACCCGCCGCCGATGGCCGGGAAACCTTACCCTGCGGGACGGCTTCCTTTCACTGCCTTCTCCTCCGAAGCCACCACGACCCGAACTCCGTCCCGACACCGTCGCTGTCTCCAGGACACCCGAGGCTTAACCCTATTAAAAAGGGGGGGGGGAATACAAGCCCGTACTCAATTCGTGCAGAGATACTTGGGAACTGTAGTCCTTGAACAGCTATTTTTTACTCCCGCTCTCCTCAACTGAACCACAACTCCCAGCATGCTCCGTCCGCCCTTCGCGCTCCTCTGCAGTCCCACCAAAGCAAAACTACGCGTCCCAGAATGCCTTTCTGCTCTTTATACCTGTCTCGCTCGGCCCGGTACAACTAAAGGCGTCGTTCTTCCTCCAGCTCAGGTCCTTCTCAGAGACAGAACCACGCGGTTCTCACAGCCCGCTTCGGAAACTACTCCTCCCGGCATGCCTCGCGAACCTCCTATTACCCAGCAGCCCTAGCGGCGGATCCGATGTCCGGAGCGCTCTCCTGAGCCTCCGGGGAAGCTTCGGAAACTTTCGCTTCGCCGCCGGAACTTGGTTCGGCGCCAGCAGCAGCGAGAGGCATGGAGGCGGCGGCGGCGGCGCATTGCTCGCTGCGCGTCCAGCGGCTGCTGCTCGACCCCAAGTTCGAAGGCTACAAGCTGTCTCTGGAGCCGCTGGCCTGTTACCAAGTGCCGCTCGAGTCGCGTGAGTGCCGCGGCCGCGGGGAGAGGAGCGGAGTGGTTAGAGCGCACGCGGGGGCGGGGGCGGGCTACGCTCTGGGAGAACAGGGTTCGAATCCCCGCTCCGCGGCTTTCGACCAGTCCCGCACCGCTCAGCCTTACCTGCCTTGCAGGTCTGTTGTGAGAATAAAATGGACGCGGTATCGCCCCGGTTGCTCTCCCTCTCTCACTCTACTGGACTTAACTTCACGGGGCCGTTGCATTGATGAGGGTGTGCTCTGGTTAGAGCGTTAGACAAGGGCTGGGAAGACCCAGGTTCAAAAACCCACTTCTGCCAGGGAAGCTTTCTGGGGAATCTTGGCCCAGTCGCAGACTGTCAGCCCAACCCACCTCACGGGGTTGTTGTGAGCTACTCTGGGTCCCCATCGGTGAGAGGACAAAGTGGGGTATACATGAAGTAGGTTGTGCAGAAGGGATTATCCTGCACTAGACTCTGTCGTGAGTATGAAGCAGAGTGAGAGTGACTGTGGGCCAGTAACTCTCCCTAGATCTAACCCACCCCAGTGGGTTGCTGTGACTAGGATAAAATGGAAGAGGGGTGACTTCGGGCGAATCACAGCCTAACCTACCTCACCAGAGGAAGGAAGTGCAGCAGGTGTGTTGCCCTGATGAACTGCTTGATGGAAGGGTGGTGGACAGAGAGGCCTGATCCCTGATGGCATCATAAAGGGATATCTGTGATGTCCGGGCAGGAGAATCATAGAATCATGGAGTTGGAAGAGACCTCCGGGGTCATCTAGTCCAACCCCCTGCACAAAGCAGGAAATTCACAAATACCTCCCCCCCACACACGCACCCCCAGTGATTGCTGTTCCACGCCCAGAAGATGACAAAAAACCTCCAGGATTTCCAGCCAAACTGGTCTGGAGAAAAATTGCTTCCTGTCTGAAAAGCAGCTAGGCGTTCTGTTCTCTCCCGCTGTGGCTAGATCCAGATGAGAGGCCCCCCCCTCCCTCAGGCTTCCAGTGGGCATTGGGTCTTGCCAAGTAAAGCCCGGAGGAACCAGGCATTTCTCTGCGGTGTTCTGATCCCGCTGGCTCTTCCCTTTCTTCTTGCCTTGCAAGCCCATTAGAGGAAGGCCCTGCTTCTAGCCCTCTCTCCCCCTGATCACTTTCATCTGAGAGCCCTTGTCAAGCTGAAAGACAGCAGAGAATCTCCTCCCCATTTGTAACAAAAGCTAATAAAGTAGAGTTTATTTTTTTAAATCTGAGTTGTGAACCAATCTTGGCTGAACAGCAGGATGAAAACATATCACACATGAAGTTGCCTTACACTAACTTTGGACCTTTATTCTGTCCAGCCCCAACTGGCACCATGCAAACAAAAAGGCATCTTTTCTGCACCTAACCGTTTACCTGGATCCGTCTGTATGGAAATCTTGTGCT